TAATGATGGTTTATTTAGAATGATGCATGGAATATGTTGAGGAGAAATTATGCTACTTATATTTTGTTCAATGTATTTTAATGAACTAATCTGCGTATTTAAATATATTCTAAGTAATTTAACATAATATAGTTGACGGAGTTGAGAGATTGCTTTATCTGATTGAAGAATGAAATGTTGACTTCATACAATTTTATGTTCAGTAAACATTCCTTATTAAATTATATCCCAAATTAATCAACATTTCATTTGTATAGATAAGATATAATATGCTGAAGACTAGTTTCTATGAAACTAATATGATGAAAGCACTGCTTCCCCTCCTCCTCTCTGTCATACACATATATACCATAACACAGCGTATTTATACTTATTCTACCAAACCCACACTGACTACTTTTAATTTCCTTTTTCTGTTACTCAGTCTTATAGATTTCATCAATCTGTCTACTTTGAGTGGTGTCCAACTGCTCAAATCTGTGATTTGGGATTTAAAAACAGATTGTTAAACTGTCAACATTTGAAAATTTAAAACATACGTTGTAAGCAGCTATATAAAAGTTAGAACTCAGAATAATAATAATAATAATATTTTATTGGCCAAGTGTGATTGGACACACAAGGAATTTGTCTTGGTGTAAATACTCTCAGTATATATAAAGAAAAGATACATTTGTTAAGAATCAAGAATCATAATGTACAACACTTAATGACAGTCATAGGGTACAATCAACAATCAAATCATACCAGGAAACAGTCAATATAAATCGTACAGATACAAGCAACAAAGTTACAGTCCTACAGTCACAAGTGGGAAGGAATGGGTGATAAGGAGTGATGAGAAGATTAACAGAAATAGTAGTGCACACTTTGTAAATAGTTGAACAGTGTTGAGGGAATTATTTGTTTAGCAGAGTGATGGCTTTCGGGAAAAAACTGTCCTTGTGTCTAGTTGTTCTGGTGTGCAGTGCTCTATAGCGTCATTTTGAGGGAAGGAGTTGAAACAGTTTATGTCCGGGATGTGAGGGGTCTGTAACTCTTAGAACATTAATAATTAATTATTAATAATAATGTAATACTCAGAACATTAATAAGGCTAATTTATTCTTGGGAGTCATAGTTACATCCGCTCTGCCCTCGGGGCTTGAATTTGATGGAACAATCAAGTCCTCATCGACTTTCTGAAAATCAAGGTGGAGGAGGCTTTTTGAATATCAGACAAGGGGACAGTGAGTGAGAAGTCATGCCTCTGTGTCTTGTGTAGGTGACACTCTCTGTTTAAGAGGACATGTAAAGAGACCAATTACTAGATCTTATTAGACAGGCAGAAGTCATCAGGACAATGTGGTCACACTAATACCCAGATCCTGAAGGACTTTAAATGCGAGAGTCAGCACCTTGAATTGTACCCAGAACCCAACCATTGCAGCTCTCAAAGTAGGTGTAATGAAGGTGCCTCCAGGTGTACAAATAACAATTCAAACTGCTGTGATCTAAAAAAATTCTGAATTATCTTTAATCCTTGTAAATCACATGGCAATTGTCTAGTTGAGAGGTTGTTCAGTTGAGACTAAGGCATGAATGACATTGAATAAAAATTCAATTTCTAAGAATTCCCATTCTTGCAAATGGTACATGAGATTATCTTGTGCAAAGACCTTGGATTTGGGGGAATGCAGCCCCATGCAGAACTAATTGTTTCCCATCCCATTCTGAGACTCCCTGGACACTTGGACAAGACTTTGACAACATCACTTGTTTGGCCAGGGTTGAGATGTAAAATTCAGCCTCATCAAAATAGTAACAAAACATGACCAGATTGTCTGACACATTGTCTTCCCTATTGATTGAACAGATTTTGAATAGGAGTATGGAGCACTGAATCCCATGGCAGCCCACAATTGAGGGGCACACGGCACAGTTTTTCCTCTTATACCATTATTAACTGGACCTGTTCCTTAAGATAGGAGAGAACCATAAAACCATAGACTCCTTACTCATAGAGACAGCTCAGCTCAGACAATGATGACTGATGGTACTGAAAGCTGTTGAGAGATCAAGCAGGATCAGGAGGATCACACTACACCTATCTTGGTCTTATCAGAAATAATCCACAAGTATGCCTAATGCTATCTCTGTTCCTTATCTAGACCTGATGTCTGACTTGAATGGCTGGGGATAATCTGTTTCCTCCAGGGCTTCCTACAACATTTCATTCTGGTAAAAATGCAGATTTGAAGGTCTTACAAAAGCTTCACCTCATTTTACCAGAGGGCACAGTTGAGGGGAAAGTGCCTCATTCAACCTTCTGATTATTTGGGGGTGGGGGCGTTATATCCTTAAGGGAGCCCTTCTCAAAATTGTCTCCCCCAGGGCATTTGAAGTACAAAACCTAGAATAACTGCAGAGGTGGTGCAGTGAATATAATGCAGTACTGCGGCACTGCACTGCTCACTCCAGGAGTTCGATTCTGAGCGGCTCAAGCCTTCCATCCTTCTGAGATAGATAAAATGAGAACCTAGGTTGTTGGGGGCAATATGCTGGTTCTGTAAACTGCTTAGAGAGGGCTGTAAAGCACTGTAAAGCGATATATAAGTCTAAGTGCTATTGCTATATACAACCTTCAGCCATAACTGACCCAAATGAGGGGGCGGGAGGGAGAGGGAGGGGGGAAAAGACTGCACCTGCCTTGGTTTTTGCAATAAATACCAGCCCTTTCTTCTTCCCAATTCACTGCTGGTTTGTTGGGTCATTCGGTGCTTGCAGCAGAGTGGCAGACTTCAGTAAGTGAGCACCCTTGAAAACTGCTCAAAGAAGTCTACTTAGATCATTAAGCAGCCACCAAATTCACAGCACCTGAAAACTTTTATCCTTTATTTCCACACACCCACACACTACAGTGAAGTTTCTTTTGAATTGAGCCTGATTGCAGGTGATGCCCATATTGTCAAGAAAGCTACAGTGCAGAAATGGTTTGCTATTACTTTACTCTGTTGTTTATTTATTTGCCAGCCTAGCCTGGGAATTCCGGTTTTGCCCATACCTTTGCCCATACTATATACAGTATATAGTATATATACTGACTTACAACAGTTTATTCACATGGTCAAAATTCAAAGTCTTGGCAGCTGGCATCTGTTTATGATGATTGCAGTGTCCCAGGGTCATGTAATCCCTTTTCACAACTTTCCAACAAGCAAAATCAACGGGGAATCCAGATTCATTTAACAACCATGTTACTAACTTAACTGCAGCTATTTACTTTAACAACTGTATCAAGGAAGGTTCTAAATGAAGCAAACCTAAATTAACAAATGTTTCACTTAGCAATAGAAATTTTGGGCTCAATTGTGGCTGTAAGTCAAAGACTACCTGTACTTAGGCCTGCCTTTGCTTAACTTCTAAGCACAAACAAGGTGGACAAGATGAAAGTGAATGTGCTTGGACACATAACCAATAAAATATTAAGAAACAAAGCACTAAGCCTATCATTGCTATCATAGTTTGTTAATATAGTACTGAATGCTAACAAATTAATTTGGCCATCACGCTACATATTACGAGAATGCATAAACAGTGTCATAGCCTTAGTGTTACATGTAATTCAGGTCAGCAAATTGAACTGCTAAAATATCTCTATTTGGGTTATGTTTTACACAATCCAAACATTCCTCAGACTGGAAAAGTTAAAAAAAACCCCTCTGCTTAGCATGTTTCTGGAAAAAAGATCATATCTTCAAGTTATATATTCAACAGTGTTTTCAAATCAACAATGCAAACGTGCAGTGTTTCCATTTTCATTAATCTGCTCTCTGATATATTTTTCCTAGACTAAATCAGACATATTAAATGAAGGAGTTTCGATTTTTTTTATTTTGTTAGCCACTCGGAAATATATATCGATTTAACTGCATCCTTTTAAAATTGATTCTGTTTCTCTAGCTGATGCTCCCCAAAACTCTCCCACACACGCCCTCATCACATATATAGAACGATATATTATTCTACTGCAAATGTCTTTAGCTTTTATACAGGAAGAATTGAAAAAGCCGCCAGGACGCTTGTATTCTGACATTTTCCTCTGCCGCTTTCAGAGTTTCGGATCCTCAAGTTGCGACCTTCTGCCATCTCATATCATTTGCATCATCATGTTAATATGATACAATAAATTCCGAAATGATTTTCCCGATACAAGTTTTCCCAACACCACAGACAAGAGCGAACAGTCCCAGCAGCCCCTCCCCAAATTCATTTTTTAAAGCTTTCGGGCAACTTTTGGCTTTTTCTTTTTTTAAAAAAGTATTTATTTCTCCTCAACGGCACGCAGTTCGAGGAGGAGGAGGATGACGGCGGGGGCGGCGGAAACCTGAAGTTTAGGAATGGAGAGAGAGAGTGGCGGGGCGGGGGGGAGAACGGTTTTCTAGGCAAGCTCCGCGGATCCAACGGCAGAAGATACTTGTAGGCTGCAGGTGACTAAAACCCGAACCTTCAGACAAGCGTGCAAACCCCGGAGAAGACCCAGAGAAAAAAGCAGCGCGCGCGCCTGACCGGAGGGCGGCCGCAGCGTTTGTTTTAAAAAAAAACCAACAAAAAAAACAACAACCAGGAGTGGAAACAACCTCCTGAGCAGAAAGCGGCGGGCGGGGCGAGCAAGCGGGACCTGAGGGGAGCGCTGAGCGGCTCCGAAAGGGGAGGCGAATGTGATTTGTTTGGTGACCGGAGCCAATAAGAAAGCGTAGAGACTTCGGCAATATCCCCATGCGGTGACCGAGAGGAGTCAGAGCGAAGCGTCCCTTCTCGCACCTTCCCGCCGGCAGCAGCCCTTTTCCACACGGCTCTCCCGCGCCTTGGCTTGCTGCGAAGCGTGGTAGCACCGCGCCGTCCTCTGGGAAGGAAAACGCGTCCCAGGAACAGCGCTCGCTGACTACTCGGGGGTCTCGGGTTGGAAGAGAAGGGAGAAGCTTCCCTTGAGACCCGGAGGAAGAAGAAAAAGAAGAGGAAAAAAAAAACAGGGCTGGCGGCCGTCCGCCTCGGCAGTTGACAGGTAAAGCCGCGCCGTCCGAAGGGGCTGGAGGTGGCGGCGGTGCCTTTTTAGGACTAGAAGAGAGGAAGCGTGGAAGCAAGACGCCGGCGGGTCCCTTTTCTTTCTTCGGGCAGACTTAAGACGCGCGTGGACATCGGAATTTCTCTCCCCCCCCCCCCCCCCCCCCCCATAAAAGAAAGGGTCAGAAGTGGTATTTTTCCCCCTCACCTTTGGGGTAGATTCGTTCCCCCCCTTTTTTTTGGAGGGGGGGGGAATAGGGTAGCATCCCAGCCCGCTTTCTGCTCGTGGGCTGCCCTGCACCCTTCAGGCTTTCGCCTTTCTCAAATCAAAATCGCGGTTTCTAGATCACGAACTACAAGGCAGACGTGTAAGCCACACGGTTACATCCTGGGGTGTTTGAAGCAAGGGGTGCATCGGGCTGTGCTCCGCAGCCGAAGATCGTTCTGTTTATAGCTGCGGGTGTAAAAATTGAGGGCTAAAGCTTTTATAATACTATATGTCACTTTGAAACACACCCCCCCCGTACTTTGAGGTAAACCCGGTTTTAGGATTAAATGATTTTTTTTTTTTTTGGATAGGCCTGGTTTAGCGTAATTAATCCTAAATCAGGATTAAAAAAAAAACTCGGGAGGGGGGAAAAATAGTTCTAAGGACGTACATCAGTTTATAACTATACGCTTTTGAAACACAGAATGTGATTTTAATGATTTTTTTTTTGACCAAGAGTGTTACAGGGATAGAAATTCATCCTTGCTACTATTGGGAGGAACTTTAAATTGCACCAAAATTTGGAAATAAATTTGATACGTTTTGAATTTTTTTTTTTTAGCAAACTGTCTCGTACACAGAAACTTGGAGAAAGTTTTAATTTTAGGTGCAGGCATGTGCAAGTAGTTACTTAGCTTTCTTTAAGGAAGATTTTTAGGAGGATACAATGAATAGCCTGATTTTATTTTCAAGAAAGCAACCTTCTTAAAGGAGAAAAAAGGCAGGAGGGAGGGAGAGAAGGATGGGAATGTGGACAAGCACTCACTTTGAAAGCCTCTTGAATACTGTAAGTTGAACCTGGGTTCCAGCCAGTTCCAATAGCTGTTGTAAATGGTTTTTGATGTAAATCTACAGGAATCCAAACAATGCCTTCTGAATCAAATAGCAACAGGTGCATGGTCCACTCACTGGGCCTTAATTAGCACTTTGCATATCAGACCACAGTGGTGCTGCTGCATGCTAATTCACTATGAAATCTCACATCCGTTCAGGTTCTTGACTTCCCACCAGCACAAATACAATGCAGGCACTGTGTTTCCTTGCAGGGTTTATTTTCTTTTTTTAACATGTTGAATAAGGTAAGGAAACAAATATTGTTGAAATCATTGTTCTGGTATGCTTTGCCTCTGACTGAAGCCAAGCAAATGTAGTTTTCTTTTAACTGCTATGGGTATATTTTTCTAGCCTTTTTCCTTTTGTTATCTGTTTATTATAAACTTGAAAGTAGAGACAAAGAAAGCACTTTTGAATGAAGGCTGATAAGGAAATGGCCAACCCAATCCATAGACCTTAAAACTTGTGGGCTGGGAACTGAAATGATTGACACCTAGTCCCAAGCATTTTCAGGTGTAAATGAAAGATACTGCAGCTGGGAGCATATATATTTTTGCCCTTTTGAGATTATGTTTAGTTTTTGCTAAAGATCTGTAAAGCTGGCTCTTAGTATGCTTACTTCTTTGACTGTAAGATTTGCTGATTATATGAATTCTCCAACTCAAGTAGTTGGAGTCAAATGCTATTAGTTTAAAAACAAAAGCATTTAATAATTCAGAAGGTGAATTGCTTTCAACTCAGTGGGACTGCCTTTGGAATAGAGATTCAAGAGTTCTAATGCAAGTCTTTTGAATACATTGCTTGTTCCCAGAGCTAATAACCTGGGGAACATGGGACACATTTGTTAAAACTATACTTATAGGTAGGAGACATTAAATGATTTCATCTAGTACTGGACTGATAGGACATTTGTAATGTAACTTTTTGAAAGCTCTTGGATATACTTTAGAAAACAATGTGAGAGTCTTGATTTAAAACTGGAAGTGAATAATGAACCTATGGTTGATGTTTTCAAGAGTCAGCTTCCTAAGGAGAGCTGATTATTCAGGGAAGCAGTGGAGGAGGTCTTGTTCAATGTTAATGCTAAATGTTTAATATAGCGATTATGTTAACAGTGTCATAGCTCTTTCTATCTTCTCAGAAGAGTTGTTTAAATTAGTCTGTTAATGTCAGAAACTTGCATTAGCAACAGATGTTTTTTTTAAAAAACTTTTTTAAAAAAATAGAAAACATAATTTAGAACATTTAAAACAACCAATTTAATAAAACAACAGTAAAGATTTTTGTGATACCATAGAAGTTGAATCTGTCTCCTTTGGATGGGAGAGTCCTGCAGATGACAAGTTTTGTTGAACAGAGGAAATAATCTGAGAGAAAGGAATGAGTCTTTCCTTTACAAATACCTCTTTCTGTCATTCTTGTACTTATTTCCTCCACCCAGAATGTGTTCCGTTAAGGATGAAGGGAAAGGAATGCTCCTGACAAGAGAACATAAACTGTCCAATTGAGTGGTTTTTTTTTTTTATGTTCCAACAGATTAATCCAGCTACAACTTTAGAAATTGCTAATTCTGGTTTTATATAATTGCTGAATTTATTTAGGGAATTATATAATGAGAAAATAGGCAAATCTTGACTGTGTTCCCTTTGATGAAGGGATGGGTTCTCTGATGAGTGCTTCTCACTCTTTAATTGTATCAGATTTTTCTGTCTTTTCCCTCTTATAATAATCTGGAAGTTTTAGTTGCACAACTGATAAACTGCAGTTAACAGAAAGGTATGAAGGTCCTTAGTGAGATCAAGCCTCTAGTTTCTTTTCTGTGTCTTGTACACACATATGAAATTATTTGTGTATAAGACATTATGTGTGTATAATTATGCACACACATATGAAACAGCAGTAATAAAAATACTTAAATACACCAGGGAGATTTTTAGTGACTCCTCATTGCTTTAGTTAGCAGATCTGCAGGAAACTCAAGACAAATCCTGTGAATCTGTCTGCCTTGTGGCTTCAATCATTCAGGATGGCTGTCTTTGCTTCAGTAAGGATACACCTATTGTAAGGAGTCAACTATTATATAGAAGTAGTTGATGCCTACTCCCATCTGTGGATCATTTCATTGGATATCACCATATTCTTTAAGCTTATGAATTGGGAAGTTGTTATATGCATGTGTTCAAGATTAGGGTTTTTTTATTGCATCTTTTTAATATATCCTAATACTCTTGCCTCCTCCTATTTTTCCTACAATGACAACTCGGTGATTGGGCTGAGAGGTTGACTGGCCCAAAGTTATCCAGCAGCTTTTGTACCTAAGAGATACCTAGAACTCAGTCTCCTGGTTTCTAGGCCAGCATCTTAACCATTCTCCAAATTTGCTCTATTAGTTATTTTGTAATTCACTGAGTTACCATGAGGTGTAGGGTTGTTATTGTGGCAAAAGAAAATCTCTGTATCCATATTGTTCCCCTTATCTTTAACTTAAATATTTTTCTAAATCTGGATTCTTATTTTTCCTTGTTGGGAGACTACCACTATTATTAACTCTTAAACCTGTAAATTTTTGCCTGGTTAGAAGTATAGCGGCTGGAATGGTGTTACAGAAAAGCTCTTGATGCCTCTAAATTCAATTCTACACATGCTTTTTCAGTTAAATTTTGTGTAGTGTACATTGTGTGGTTTTTGAAAGAGATGTCAGACCTCTGGAAGGCAAATTTATATATTTATTTGCAGAGCTTATAGACCATTTCAATTTGAGCCCAACAATTTGAGTTAGTGTTTTTTTTAAATCAAGTCATATGGAAATGTTACTTTTCCAGAGTAATATGCATATTTATGCACAATCTGCATTTTCCCTGAATATCCAGTATAGATAGGACTGAAGTGAAAGACACTCAAGCTGAAAATTCTTCTTTTTTCTCTTTTGGCCAAATTAGTAGGTTAAATAATGACACAACTGAGATGTTAGCCTTAGACAGGGATCCACAAGCTCTTCACCTCATCAACTTCTTCATGAAGTTTCAGATTGTTCATTGGCATCCAAAATTATATGGAATATAATTAAGGTAAAGATAAAGGTTCCCCTCGCACATATGTGCTAGTCATTTCCAGCTCTAGGGGGCGGTGCTCATATCCATTACAAAGCCAAAGAGCCAGCGCTGCCCCAGACATGTCCATGGTCATGTGGCTGGCATGACTAAAGGTGCATGGAACACTGTTACCGTCCCACCAAAGTGGTCCCTATTTTTCTATTTGCATTTTTACATGCTTTTGAACTGCTAGATTGGCAGAAGCTGGGACAAGTAACGGGAGCTCACTCTGTTACGTGGTGCTAGGGATTCCAACCGCCAAACTGCCAATCTTTCTGATTGATAAGCTCAGCATCTTAGCCACTGAGCTACCACATCCCCTTGAGTGAATATAATTAATAGTCTTTTAATAGTACTATAATGATAATCATAAAATAGGTAATATTTAAATATGAAAAATATAAGATTTAACATACATTTATCATTAATGGGAAGGATGCTTCTAATGAGTGACAACAAGGGCATTGATATTTGGCTGGAGAATGAATTTTAGTTGTAAATCACTATACTCTTCCAGCTTCAGTCTATTTATATTCAGTATATTCAGGTTCAGTCGAGAGTGAACCAAACAGCTGGCAGCCAAATAACTATTTTGTGTTAGCATTATAGACTCCTGACTAATGTAACATAGATAAATAGATTAGAGAGATAGATTAGATAGATGATAGAATATTCCTGTTGATCCCCAGTCATTTATTGATAACTTGGGTAGTCCTATTGACCCTTGAAAATTAATATTGATCACTTTGGAGAACCCTGGCTTAAAATAAATTCATCAAAGATTTGAGGTCTTCATCTAGAGAGATT